CCCTCCAAACATCTTCTGCAGATGTGAAGCTTTATCTCCACTGCAACATCTTTAATCCAGCTTCATGGTACTCGACCGGTTCAATAACACGAGCCGCAGCAATGAGTGCCAGGCCAGGCTGCCCTCCTGGTCCTGGAGCACGGTCCTCTCCCAGGAGAGCTGCCGTGCAGGGGCTGCAGGACTGACCCAGGAGGGATGCTGGCGGACCGTGCCCGGAGCCGGTTGTTCCTCTGGCCCCCGCAGCCCCCCAGGATCAGCACCTGGGATCCCCCCAGGAACAGCACCGGCCCCAGGGCCAGGACAGCTTCTGCAGGGCGGCAAGCTCAGCAAAGCAGGCTCCCGCTCCTTGGTTTCCTGCCTTTCTCAGAGATTATTTTTTTCCCATGAAATAACCACCAGGAACTGTTTCTCTTCCTAACATAGCAGACACCACTACGCTCATCGTTTGTGTTTTGTTTTAGCTCCTTCCCTACCAAAGCAGCATGAAACCCACCGTATTACCTGCCTCCCCTCTCCACGTCTCTCACTCAGACACCACCAGGTTTTCCTTTAAATGAAAAGCACTTAAGCAGTTATGAGATTCCTTGCACATATTTGGCTGATAGGAGTACCTGGAACCGCCTGGCCCTTGGTCTGAGCCTGTAAACGCAGAAGGTTTTGAAACTGAGATCTAAACCAGCTCTTTGGTTTTGAGCAGCCTTGCTGCAGAGTCCGTGGAACAGATACAAACCCATGTCAGAAGGAAGCATCTGGAGTCATTTATAAGCCTATTTCAAGTATCATTTGTTATTTTTTCTTTTAAACAGGTAACTTCAGGTTCTCCCAGACCTTCTTCTAAACGGTGATGCCAATTAACTCATTGCCCAGGATTCCAAGTCCTGCCTAATCCCTCCTGCTCCCATGGCACCGGTGCGAACAGCGAGGGCAGGTACGACCCCGCAGCCTTGAGGCTGGCACAAACACCTGATGATGCTTTCGCTTTTTAAACACTAATCAAAGGTTTCCATGGTAACCTGCAGGAGCAGGAAGAAGACGGGAAATTACAGGTCAGCTCCATCACTGAAAGCAAAAAAATTATTCAATTCCTTTGCCCTTGAAAAGTTTCAAGGTGACCTAGAAGTATTGATTAATCAGGTTGCATAAAGGCAGAAA